TCCTCCTCGTCCTCCTCCTCCCCCTCCAGCTGCAGCGGCAGCCGCCCTGCCTCTGGAGCTCCGCTCGGTTCAAGATGAGTCATGCGTGACCAATCCCCTCCCCGCCAAGGAACAACGAGACACACACAAGAGGCAGAGACCCAGAGACATGCACACACAAACACAGAGACGCACAGACACTCCGAGCTGCTGGCCGACTCCAATACACCCTAACATACAAAGACGCTAGTGGGCACACGTCCACATGGCCCTCACTACCGCCCCTTCCTCAAGGGGCACCCAAGGTCCTCCAGCACAGCCCCATTCACAGGTACCCCGCTGCAGAGATGCACTCCATGTGAAGTCACACATACCCTGTTGAGGTGAACGCTGTATCTGGTGCATTTGTGTAGATCCTGATGCGAGTGATTACCTGCTCACATCAATTAAGCCATAACAAGGCATTCGCACATACCCCAACAGCAGATACATCTACTCCATAATGGCCCAGGAGCCCACCAGCTCCTAAGGACTGAATGGCATTGGGCTTGGCAGGTGATTAGTGGGAAAGGACGGTGGATTCCCTCGATTTTCTTCCAAGGGATAGCTTGGGACGTTCCCCTTCCTCTCAGGATTTACTTAGCCACGGAGTCCAATGCTCATCTTCTCTAGAGGTCTACTGATGAGGAGATCTTGGGGAAGGCAGAGAGGCTCAGGCATTTAGATAGGAGACCCAGCCCTGAAACACAGACACCTCAGGCACAGACTCAGAGACAATCTTACACCTCTATCACCCCATGGCATACAGACACAGGGACATTTATAGCTCAGCTCTCTTCCCACATACAAACTGAGCCCAAAGAGATGTGTGTAAATATGCATCTTCTAAACACACACACATACACACACGCACACAGACTCAGATCTAGCCCTACAGACAGCAGGACACCTCCTGGCACTCTGTCACACACACCATCGCCTCTGTAATCATCCTCTTTTACAAATATTCTTACACCTATACACACCTTTATCTTCAGGAGAGCAAGGGCTCTCACAAACCCTGTATCACCTCATATCCTTTACTCAGGCATCCCCAAAGATGCACACACATCCTTACATCCTTACAGATTGTGAGGCATCCGTTCATAAGCAGAAATGGCACACATGTATGCACAGGTGGGTCCCCAAGAGTTCTGGGCTCAGTCTGCACACACAGAGGCACATCCTAACTATGCAGGCAAACAAGGAGATTTGCATACCCACATAATACAAGACACCCATGCCCGTATCCTCCAAAGATACAAATATCTGATCCTTTGCACTGAAATCATCCCAGCCCAAACTGATGGCAGCTTCCAGCCTTTGCATTTCCCTTATTTATTGCTCTCAAACACAGAAACTGAGAGAGAAAAAGTTTCTCTCTGAATCATAAATTCTTTACTCTAGAGAACGGAGCGCAACATAGAAGTGGATAAAGTATGCATACACACAGGTGTACACACATACACATGCACCGTCAAACATGATCACAGAGGAACTGTCCCCTCCCCCTCAGAGATCTTTTACTTGGTAATCCCAGCTACTATTCCTGAATACTTTAATCTGTGTTAAGCATTAAAATGCCAAGCATTTTACAATCATGATCTCATTTTTCTTTTCACAATAATGAGGCTGGGGAAGTTATTCACAATGATGGGGCAACGTCTCTTATGATGCGTATTTTACTGACA